ATTTTCAAATTTTTATGAGATTTTCTTGACTGTGGTAGGTTAGCAGTTGAACTTGACCTTAGAGGTCTTTTCCAACCTAAAGAATTCTATGATTCTATGAAAAGAATCTTGCAAGGTTTTGTCTGGATTTCTTAATTTTTTGAAGTTAATTGACTTAATTTCTGATCCATTTTACTCTGTTCCTTAAAGACTCTAAAGCTCCATTTTAAGAAAGATGAAACTAAAAGCAGAGGAGAGCTGCAATTCCATGTCTTATCCTGTAACTCCCATGGGGACTTCATGGGTAACCACCTCCTCCAAGCAGACACCATTACCTAAGCTTGATATATTTCTCTGGCATACTTAATCTGGTTTATAGGGAAAGATATATTTAGACCATCAACTATAAGGTCTAAATCCAAAAAGGTACTGAGACTTGCAGACTATTCGCTAACCTGACTGTTCAACCCAGCTCCTGATATAAGCTGTGTTGCCATATCTGCTTATATGCCTTTAAGGCACTCTTTGTGTCACAAAGCTTCATAAAACGCACTTTAAAGAAACATATATTGTTAATGCTGACACATATCTTTAGGGTTTTGAAGGAGAGTTTAATACCTGCATCTGCTCTATAAATAAAGGGGTTTGACCTTTATGGCTTTCAAAGGACACTTTTAACAAACTCTTAAAGTTTCCTAAATTAAAAAGGAAAAGTGCCTTAGTCACCTTGCAGTAGGTGTACAGAATGGTACTGAGTGGCTGCAGCCCATGGCACACTGCTGTCCTTGCAAGGAGGTTAAGAGGAGCCTGAATGAATAACAACAAAGCAGATGAAAGTCTCAGTTTCAGCTGGACAAGCCCACATTCATTAATTGACTAGTCTGCCCAGCTTGTTTATTATTAATTCTAAGAACCATCCAAGTAGGAGAAGCACCTGTGATGGGGTGTCAGCTATCAGAGGTCTCCATCTAGCAGAGTCTTGTCTGTCACAAGCTGGGCAAGCCACCAGCATTGCTGTCAGGGTGAGAAGCCTTTGGATAACAGCTCGGCTTCCCGTCAGGGCTTGCTGGATCAGTGTGGTCATAAATAGGAAGGGAAACACATATTAAGTATCCTTTTCCTTTCTTGTCCTTTCCTCCTGGCATTTGGCCCACAGTTTTGTGATTTTAGGATAAAAGTAACTTTTGTGGTTTATTGACGATTTTTTCAGTGAAATCCTGTAAATCTGACTTGAATCCAGGGCAGGACTTCTCTGGTACCTGCGGTGCAGCTGTGAGGGTTCATAGGGCCAAAGGTCAGCTCCAGAATCAGCTCTGGGAGGCCTGATAGAACTCATATGAGCCCCACTCCAGGGGACTCAGATTGGGTGAAGGCTTCTCTCTGGTTCTGCTTTGGACCATCTCAAATAAGAGTTGTTCCAGCTGGGGTCATAAGCAGTGTACAGGAACAAAACAAAAATTGCAAAAGCTTGTCTAAAATATGTTGTTCTCTGAAGCAACCATTGGCAGTATACCCATAGATCTATATAGTCACTTTCTTAAATTGGATTAATTTATGGTCTGGACCATAAAAATAATTTGAAAATGGTAAATACTTTCTATTTTAAAGCTATTATAATTTTTATGTTCTCTGAAAACAACTGTCTCTTAGTCACGTCCTAGAAGTTTTTCATTTTATCTTGTTTCTCTTATTGAATATGTTGACATATTCTTGACACTGAAGTTGTTGAAAGAGCAGTTTCCATATGAGATATGTAAACGCATGCTCTGTGTAGACAGGGTCTTCATATTTCACAGAAAACTATGATGGTCCTATTCTTGGGCTGAGATTTTTTCCACTGGTGGGGATTGGAGTATTTTGAAGTTGTTGTTTAGCAAACAAAGCTAACCTGGAGCCTAAAAATATGCATGGCATTTGCAGAGAGTCTGTAAGCCTGCCAAGGTAACCCTTTTGTGATATAAATCAAGGCAATACTATAATGGTTGTACATCTTGGGGCTATTGCAGTTACTTACAAAATCCATACCAATGAAATGTGGTCCTTATTGGAAGATCAGATTATAACAGTCGTACCTGTAGTCACTTTGTGAATCACTCATTGTTTTCTCTCTCTGCTGCCATATTACCTGTAATATGTGAGTTTGGGAGGTCCTTGGGTCCAGGCCACTCTTTTCTTAAATACTGGTTTGACAAATACACCTTCCAGGATGTAACCACGGTTACCGATGGAGCCCCTGAAATATTAACTACTCACATCAATATATAGATTATATCTGTCCCATATAGTACTATCTATACTGTTAATGGAATCTAGTTACTTAGTATATAATAATAGCATCTATTAAAATCATAAAATCATAGAATCAGCTGGGTTGGAAAAGACCTCTGAGGTCATCAAGTCCAACCCTTGATCCAACACCGCCGTGGTTACTAGACCATGGTACTAAGTGCCACATCCAGTCTCATCTTAAAAACCTCCAGGGCCAGTGAATCCACCACCTCCGTGGGCAGCCCACTACAATGTCTGATTACTGTCTCTGTAAGGAATTTTTTCCTAATATTCAACCTAAACCTCCCCTGGCACAGCTTAAGATTGTGCCCTCTTGTCCTACTCCTGGTTGCCTGGGTTGTAGCCCACCTCTCTGCAACCTCCTTTCTGGTAGTATAGTAGTATATAATATAGTATAGTAGTATAGTAGTATATAATAATAGTATCTATTAATATTTAGTATCTACCTAGTATCTATAGTAATAGTATCTGTTACTATTACTATTAACTAGATTTTGCTTGCTTCCACACTGAGGTCAGTACATGTTATCACTTTTTATACCTGCAAACCTAAACTGGATTTCAACCTAACTTGTGTTACAGTAGTATTGGTATAAGACTACAAGGACTGAAATCAGTGGCTGGTTTTTTACCAGCTTCATTAGCCATATTGTTTTTCTCAATAAAGACTATTCCACAGATTTGCAGACTTTTCTGCTAAAAAAAGAAAATCCAAATATTTTATAACCCAGGCCTGGACTTCACCCATGAGGACATGATAAGTATAATATGAGTACTATAGATTTACATCTATATTTAATTTTATCTTTGAAAAATATTTAAAAAGCAGCACTTAATTTTTTTTTTTAGGTAGTGGTACAACTGCCAGTAATGAACTCTTTTTTTACAGTGCCTGGTAGTGATCTCTTAGCAACTAAGCCACATCAGGCTAGTTTTGATAATCTTATTCTTGTTGAATGACAATAATCCTATTGAAATACAGTTAGATCATCAATAAGGTAGTACTAAGAAAGATTGTATTGGAATGTGGCCTAAAATAAAATAATAATCACACTTTATACCCTGTTAAATTACAAGCTGTCCATTGCTTTAATAAGATGCTATTTAGTCCCAATACAATATGTTCAAATACAATCCTGAAATTCAGACAACCACAGAAGTACATGTGCCAAAAATTGAAGAACTTGATTATGGCTGCATAAGAGTGACTGAAGCCAGTATAAAACTTAACTCTTCATATCTTCATATTTTATTCCTTGTGAGAGCTGGAGACAGGCAACTCAAACTTTTGCTGCTTTTTAAAGGTCATCGGCATTTTCAATGTGTATTTAAAGCTTTAAATGAAACAATATATATGATTTTTTTTTCAACAAATCTTCTGCCTTTCCCTTAAATTGAAGTTTTTGGCTGAGTTTCAAACTTGTGAGGAAAAGCTGAGAAAAAGTCTTCATTACGAACCCCTTCAGACTTTGACTCATTCTCAAAGACATTATCACAAATAGTGTTTTGATAGAGAAAAAAAATCTGGATGACGTGAACTACCCCTGAATGTTGCTCAATCACACTCCTCTGGGCAACTCTTTTCTGTACATCAGGACTGAGAAAATGCCATCCCCATTAATGTGGGATGGTGAAACTGATATAATACATTTTCTGAGACATTTGAAAAAATAAAAGTATCTCTGTCCTTTAGAAAATTTCCCTTGCCTTGGGATGTGACTAATATCCAGCCTGCAATTGATTTGCAAACAATCTAGCAATTTTGTCAGGTTTGTGTTCCCAGAAACTTAATTTAGAGATTTTCTATTAATACCAGATACTTCACCATAGGCTTTTCTTCCTACTGTATTTGGCTTCCTGCCACCCTTCAGCTCACAGACACCCATTCCAGCTGCCACTAGCCAGAGGAAGAAGCCAACAGGCATAAATAAATATTTGCTGTCCTTGACAAAACCTTTGAAGAAGGCCCCTGCTCTGATCAGAAATGTATTTCCCTCGGAGTAAATAGATTCAGGAAAAAACCTACACTGTATAAATGCACCATATTAATACCCTTCCTCTGTGAATCTTTGGTCACAGCTTCTTACACTGTTGATGTAAGATTATCTCTTAGAAAAAGTTAAAGACATTGTCAAACAGAACTGAGATCCTGTCTTACCAATCAGTCAGTGACAAAACTATCAGCTAAGTCTGGGGTTCAGGGTGTTTCTTTTTCTTAGGAATCATGCACAAATCAGAAATAAAGCAACCTGGTTGCAGTCCCAGGGGAAATGCAAGCAAATATGCTGTGAAACAGTTTCCCACTTATCACAGCAATGCCTAGAGCAGTTTGGTTCATGGGGAAGGTTGTGGGCAACAGCACAAGTGCTTCTCTGTTACAGCACACAGGCTGAAGCAGGGACCAGAAGAAGCAATTTGTAATACACTTTTGGAACAGAGAGGGGAGAAAATAATAAATATTTGATTTGTTTTCTAATGTTGCCTATCTGCAGTTTTCCAAAATCAGCCTGTGTCAGAGCCACATTAAGAGCTTAAAACTCTGCATAGCCTTCAGCACGAGAAGGAACTTACAGCCTTAAGGGCCCACCCAATTTCTTAAATCCCTGCATGGATTATGGTGTTGCGATCAATGCACGCAGGATGGAGGAAAATCCTGAGAATGGAAACTTCTCTTATTCTGTAAGAAATGTTTGTGCTGTTCAAGACAACAGATGAGTGTTTGTATTGAACAGATCTCCCTTGTTTGGAACAGAAGAAACAGCTCAACTGCAGAGCGTGCTGCCTCCTTGGCCCTCCTCCACCACCCCTGTTCCCACCACCGTACTTCAGACACAGCTGGAGCACTGTAAGTCTGGCCTGAAAGCCTCTCTCTGCTTTTACATGACTTTTAATGTGTGACAAAGATGAAGCATCCTCTCAAGTATTTGTGGTGTCACTCAGCAAATGCTCCTGGCTGTGTTGATATGGCTCTGTTAGGACAATCTCTCAACATCCCAGACTGGGACTTGAAGTAAATCCCAAATAGATCAAGGAATTAAATAAGGCTGAGTTTGTTCAGGCAGTTAATTAAATTCTCCTTACTCTATTTTGGGATTTTCAGAGTAAGGCAATCCTGAACTAAAGGAAATGCCAATGCAATAAATCCAGTAAAGACAGAAGGGCACAGTTCCATTCTGCCCAATGATTTCAGGGTGTAGATTATGTATATTTTCTGTTTTACATCACATTTGCCTTATCCAGTAGGTGAAATGAAGGTCCTGAAATCCTCCTATGGAATCTATTCCCAGCATTTCATTTTGCAGGAAGACAGACAAGTTTGAGTTGCTGGTATGCAGTTTTCACTTACCCACCTATGCACAAACTTGCTGTACATGACATGTATCCATACACATACATTAACAAATGCAACATACAGAACACAATGGGTATATGATATAGCACTTTGCTCAATTACTCTTACTGATAGGGTCTGTTAACTCCAATATATCTTTCATCCAAATTTTTAAGAATTTCTATATCCATTCAGTAATTCCAATTCTCAATTCTACTGTCCATTTACCATATACAAATACTGCAATTATTGCTAGCGTTATGTAAATAATGATTAGTAAGATGTCAAACAAGAGCTAACCCAAGAAAAAGTACAGTGTAAAATCCTCCAGTGCCTTGAGAGAGATCAAGATTGAACTCAGGGTGCTATTCTCTCCAGATCAAAAATTTAGGTGCCCCTACTTTCCTCATCACCTCCACTGTCTGTGCCTTGATTTCCACAGAAAGTACACTCAGAGACAAAACCTCTCAAGGAATGTGGTGTACTCCTTCAGTGAGGACAAAGTTGGGACTAGGGTTCCTGAGATTCCTGTAAGCAGCCCAGAGAGTAACCCGAGCATAAAATCATCCTTCACACCACCTCCCCCATAAAAACATGAAATAAAATAAGTAGTTATGAACAGGGTGGAAGCCACATGAATCCACTATGAGCACTTTTTGCTTTGGAGTCTGTAGTCAGAGCTTTTCTGGAAAGCGGCCTTTCATGTGGGAGCTGAAGATCAGTTGTGTTAATCCAGTGTTTCTGGTTCAGTGTTCATCTGTGTTTCCAGGGGAGATCACCTTTGTCACAGGACATAATAGGCATTTTGCTCATGAAAGCTTAATTTTGAAGTCAAAAGATCAGACATCCATTGATCATTTACGGCATCGTCTCTGATCTGCAGTGAATGAATGTCTGCGGGTTAGTATCTTCTGGAGCGAAGTTCATGCTGCCTATGCCCTCCCTGAGTGTAGTATCTATTATTAGAACAAAGACACTATTCTAGGAGAGGAGCTGCTACTTGCAAAGTGGGACAGGGAGAGCAGGGTCAGGTCTAAGAATAGGCCAGGGTCCCACTCTGGCTTGGAGACACACACAGCAGCCTGGCTGTGATGTGCCTCTGTGAGAGGAGAAGGAGGAGGAGGAGGAGGAAGAGGAAGAAGAGGAGGAGGAAGAGGAGGAGGAGGAAGAAGAGGAAGAAGAGGAGGAGGAAGGGAGGAGAAGGAGGAGGAGGAAGTTTGAGGCAGGATGCTATGCCGAAGAGCTAATGTTCAAACATCCAGGAAGAGAACCTTCTGACAAACCCTAGGCTTCTTCCTAAGAGTGTGAATAAACTCTCTTGAGACTGTAGCGTGTGGTGGCTGGATTTTTATGCATTTCTCCAGCAGGTTACATGTGGCTGCATGTTCACTCATATGTCTTATGTTTGGTAGAAGCTGCTTGATGTGGATATGGAAGAGTTGTGTCATGAGCTCCAGATAATACAGGCTTCTTCTCTGCTTGAATCACACTGTCCTTCTGGGCCTCCTGGCCCCCAGGTGAGTGATGCATTCGTGATAAACCACATTATTCTCTCACTTGCTCCAAGGTCCTTATAAAGCTGTGAAACATCTGAAAATGCTTTTTACAACTTAATAAACATACCAAGCCCTGCTTAATTTCATTTTGATATGACTTTGCATAAATCATGTAGGCTTTTTACCCTATGTTCTCGTCCCTGCCTTGAATACTCCAGTCTATTTCAAGCTCACCCTCTATTTTTGTGGAGTTCCACAGGGGGTAGCACACATCAAAAATCCCAGAGGCATCATCACTACTTTCAGAGGTTCTGTAATGTGGAGAAGATCATCAATTTGCCTTTCCATTCCAGTTTGTTCCCTCCAAAGAAAAGTGAGACTGATGAGGTACTTCCAGTTTCTCCTGGAGCAGAGGAAGTCCTAATCGATGTGTTGTGCCTGGTTCTTTGGAACAGTGATCTTCCTCAAGGCCCCTGGATGCCAGTTTATTACAATATAGCTAATAGCAGAGATGGCACTGGGCCTTTGCTGCAGCAAAGCTCTGACTGAGGCTTTGGCAGCCTGAGAAGTTAACAAGTACCCAAACACTATTTAAAAAGTATGGACAGTACCTCAAAATAAAGGTTCAGTTATGTGACGAAAAGGTCAACTTTAATTATTTAGAAGTCAGTATTACAGAAGGTATTTGTAAGTAGTCTAGAAGTTGCAAGGTGAAAGCCACAAAGTTTTCTTTTTATAGAATCATAGGATGGTTTATGTTGGAAGAGACCTTAAAGGTCACCTAGTTCCAACCCCCTCATGAACCTTGTGTTTATCATCCTGCCATTTTGTCTTTGCTGAGTTGCAGGATGAGGCGGTTTCATTTTGCATGAGAATGATGTGTAGTGGTGAGAAGAGATGGGAGGTGTTTCTCCAGTCCTGTATTGAGAAAAGCCTCTGCATTATGAAACAGCCCTGCAGTATGGTTGGCCATGATCCAGAGATGACATACATGTGAAAGAGGCAGTTGTTATTTCAGTCTTCACTAGACTGTTTTTCTTTTAAGAAAAAAATCTCTTAATACTGTCCCTGGCTTACACTGGAAGAACAGTAATGTTAATTCTATTGTTCTACAAAGTCCATTGCTATAAATAATATTAATCTTTCAACCAAATGACCTATGATCCCTCCAAGAACATTTTTAAATAGAGCAGGCTGGCAGATTTTATCACAACAGCAGACAGTAGAATGGGTATAACATGGCTTTGGAATTTTTAATTATAAATTACAGGACTGTGTCTTGTAAAGGGACAATGTCAGAACCAGCAGTCCCCTGGGCAGTACTTTTGTGACAATGGCAGCCTGAAAAGAATACTACCATTACAAAAAGAGATCTACTAACTACTTCTGAATTCTTTTCTGCTGTAGCCTGCATGGCTTTCAAAGGAGTTGCAAAAGTTCATACTGTTGAATCATAGCTGAATTTTAACACTTTTTCATAAGAAGGAGAATTAGATTTGTAGTGGCATAACTCGGACTATAATTCCTCCCATGTGTAACCTCCTAATGAAAGAAATAAGGTAAACTTTGTCTCTGACTCTAATAAGGTGCATTCTGATTTACACTACTGAAAACCTAAAATAACTATACTGACTAAAATAATTGGAGTAATTTGCATTTGATGGTACATTTTACTCCTGTTCATGTACAATTTACATAACATTTTGGACAGTATAAGACAGCCAGGATTCAAACTTGGAATGAATGATTGTGAATCTAATGCTTCTCTGATGCAGGATCATAGGATTTTTTTCCTTAGTCACTCAAAAATAAAAGGTGGGCTGTGAACTGAAGCATTCTACAAAAAAACCTTTTTTTTTTATTTTTTTTTTATGAGATGGAGTTCAAGGTCTCCCTGGATTAAGAAGTCTCCTGAAAGGAGAATCAGTCTGATTTGAGAGAGAGAAATATGTTCAGGATTCAGAAGTGGTGGCAATCCTCCGTGTCCATCCCACCCTGCAGAGCCCATTCCACATGTTTTGTGCTACTTCCCTTACGATCCCTTTGGCTGACCTCCTTTCCCAGCCAATGCGGTGTCTCCATGTCCTCGTTGTTACTAATTCTTCAGGACTCTGATAACGTCTCATCTTTCATTTGCCCCAGGCTTGTTTTTCTTTTTGGTCCTCTTCATCTATGAGATGCTCCTGCACTTCCCATGTCAGTCCAACTCTCCAGCCTCCTGTTTAGCAGTGGCACAGACGTGGTATTTAGAGGCCACATTCAAACATGTCAATCAGCACTTCAGACTTACACTTCACACTGTTCCCAGGAAACACCCATAGGGTCAGGGGTTGAGGGAAGACAACCATCAGTGCCTCCCCACTAATGCAATTTAATAATAGCATTCACTTTTTTTCTTAGGGTCCACAAGGAATTCCTGGTATAATGGGACCAAAAGGGGAGAAAGTAAGTGCCTTTTGTTTTGGAGTTTGATAAGTTTTTGAGGGGCAAAGAAGTAGGGGAGGATGTTAAATTTTTTCCTTGTCTGTTAAGTGAACGATGAGTCTTATGAATGGGGGGATTTGCTTTAAATGGAAACAAAACTATAAATTGTTTTGAAGATATAATTTAAAACCTTATCTTTCAGTGTTTATTTTTGATCTTGAAATATTTTTATGGTTTCTCATGGTAGGTATCTCTGTTTAGGGTATGCGGTAAGAAAGCAGCTCAGGTGCAGAAGTCAGCAATGTTACTGACCCAAAAGCCTTTGAGCTCCCTGTCCCTCTGGGAGGGTGTGAGAAGCAGAGCTCCCCCATGTAGTGTGAATTGTATGAGGCAGCTCAGGTATTAAAACTGACCTATATGTTATGTTTTCAGATATGCAAAACATTTGTTCCGTTATGATGCCTAAAGAACTTTATACCTGGAGCTGGGCATGTAGTTACATGGTTTGTTATACAAGGTGATGACTATAGATTTAGGGCTGAGAACAGAGGAAAGATCGAGGAGCTCTGATAAAGTAATTCTTCTCATTTTAGCTCTGAGTCTTGAGCACAAAGATATTCCCAGTGTTTTGTTTGGTTTTTTGTTGTGTGTTTGCTTGTTTTTAATATAAACACCCCAATGCATTGACTTATGGACCACTGTGCTTCATGTGGTGGCTACAAGACTAACATATTCCTTTCTCTGGCAGGGGGAGATTGGCAGGCCAGGAAGAAAGGTATGAACAAAGGTGCTGTCTCAGAAATCCATCGAATACTTGACACATAGCAGCTGCCAAAGAGGGGTGCAGACAACAGCTGAAAATAATTAGCTTATGTTGAAGTTTAATCTGTTTGTGCTGCTCTGACTGGTACCCAGAGTGGATGGCAGGGAACTCCAGGTGCAGGGCTGGAGAGCTGCCCCAGCTGGTTTGAATTCAAGAAATTCCCTCAGTAAAAGCATGGAGACTAGTCAAACAGAGAGGGAAATTACCTGAATTATGTCTCTTGAGACAGAGGAAGCTGGGTATAGGAGCTATCATAAAAGGTGCATCAAAAAAAAGCCCAAAGCAAAATCAAAGCTTTTACTCTTCCAAAGTCTAAACAAGCCTCAGACAGATAGCCCTGAAGGAGAAATAACCATTAATGATTATAATTCTGGAGATTTGGCAACAATGCAATATGCTGACTACAATCCCAGGCTTACTTGGTGACATACGAGCCGTAATATATCATCAAAAATATGTGTCCCTACATGTGATGAAACAGAATACGTTATCTCAGTCACTAAGTACATCCATTTAATGTAATTAACTTTAAAAGAAGACAGAAATTCAGAATGAAATCAGAGATATGCTGAGGGTAGTCATTAACCAGGAAAAGAAGTACTCTTCTAATAATATACCAAGGATTTTAACACCTTTCTAATAATATACACCACCTACCAATCAGTAATTCAAATACATATAAAACACATAAACAGAAGAGGCCATTTTCTTTCATCTATTTGCAAATAGATTACAGAAAAAAAAAATTACATTAAACAAAAATATTATTTATATAAATTCAAAGGTTCAGAACAGTAATGTCTTGGAGAAAGTAACCCACCAATGTACAAGAAGGTGCAAACCTTAAGCACAGTACATTGGTGCTTTCTCTTCTGACAAAACCTAGTAGGTTCCAAAAGAGAAGTCACTCAGGATGGAAATAAAAAAGCATAACTTTCGCTAAAAGCTGTCTGGCCCTTGGGAGTTTGCTCTTGGCCCCAAAAGTCATGATGATGTTTCAAATATCATATTGTCAAGTGGTGTAATGCAGTGGAATAGCATTAAACTGCAGCATTTTAGGAGATATTCAAAGAGTGATTTACGGGAAGTAATCAAAACAGATAAATAACTGTATGTATACAGTTACTACTAGTTATGTAGTAGCTAATAAAGAGCAGTTATAGCTAGTAATATAGGAATGTTTAGAATAAGAACAATAGTAATAAGAATAGTTAGTTGAAGATTTGGTTCTGCTCTTATCATACATTGCATTCACATGGATATAATTACATGCAGGTCTTTTTATCTCCTGTCTGCAGTAGAGTGTGTAGGAATGATGTTTTATGAATCATTGTAATCAATGTTTTTCGTTCAAGGGTAGACCGGGTCCCCCGGGTGTCCCTGGGATGCCAGGACCAATAGGATGGCCCGGACCTGTGGGACCGAAGGTAAGACTAAAATTCACATCGAACAACCTGTTCAGCATCATGAGGACAGAATAGTTGTCTTAGGAAGTCTCTAAACAACTACGTGCCAGAGGCTGGGAAGATGTAACAGCGCAAGGACACTCTGTGCTTGTCCCATTTCTTACACTGGTATGTCCGGTTTAGGATTAGGTTACTCCACATTCAACCCAACCCCTGTAGCACTCCTTATGTTGATTAAACATGTCAAAGGGAAATCGAAAATCAACCTAATAAAGACTTATTGGTAGGCACTGTTGTCTCACAATCACATGCATCAGTGTTTCTAAACTGATCATCATTTTATGACTATTCTTTATGATGATCCTTTTGCCTGAAGGTATACTGTGAGCTCGTGTGATCAGAGGGAAAACACCAGACTGGTATCAGGTGAAAGAGACTACGAACCATGAGGATTGCTTATCACGTCTTTGAAGTTCAGTCTTACAAATGAAAATTCACAAACGAATATTCACAAATAAAAATTAACAAATAAAAATTCATTCCTGATATTTTTATTAACCAACAGCAGAAGAAATGACAGGACACACAGGACTACTGCAGAGTAGCTGCTTCATCTGCATTTATTATAAAAAATGCTTCAGGACAGTCCTTTAGTGAGTACTATCTTATGCCCAAGGCATACAGTTCTTCACAGGAGTCTCAGTTTATGGAGTTTCTAGTGGGACTTTAGAGATGACTTGCTTTTCTTCAGTCCAGTATGCATTAGGGAAAAGGACTGCACACAGTCCTTAGTTTGAAGCTGCATTTTCCAGTAAATCTTTGATTCTTCATTTGCTCTATGAAGGTTGATGCCCTCACCTCAGAGAATGTGATGCAGTAGCTCTTGATACTGCAAGAATAGTAGTAGATGACTTCTAATTCAAGCCGCATCTGGAAGCAGACCGCCAAAACCTTTGCAGCTATTTTAGATGAATAACATCACATTATAGTATGTGGGAATGTAGACAAGCAACAAGAGAGTATGTACTTAAAGAAATCAATGAACTGTGAGATGGGAAATGGTGTCCCCCCCCTTCACCGAATTTAGTGTTATGATTTCCCACAATGGGAACAGTGAGGGCAGAGGGAAGGTTCAACTAACTTCATAGTCTTAGTGAAAGAAGAGAGCAAAGCAGACAGAAAACTTGTTCACTTATTCTTTTCCTTATATACGCTTTAGCTTTATTTATGCAGTCTTTCTAATTTTGATTTAATCTCCTCTGTCTACTACTATGCTTTTTCATCACATTCCTAAAAGCATCCCTCATGTTCAGTAGAAACACTTTTTTCTATAGTTTAGCTGCAGTTCTTACTTGCTGTTTGGTTTCACTTCTGCTTTTATTGTCTCGTCTGATACCGGTCTCCTGTGTTCTTCAGAAAAGTTCATAGCTTCACTTCTTCTGGTCTTTATAAATTTTAGTTTCCTGCCTGTCAATGAAGGCTCCAGCTGAATACAGTCCAACAGATCTCTGGGCTCATATCAATTGCTTGTGTAGTTGGTTGTGTCTCTCTTTCCTTTTTCCCCCGTCTCTGATCTTCTCAAAGTTCTGACACTCATCTTCACCATAAACATTTGCTGCATCCTCTTCTTGCTGTAAATCTCCAGTGTGCTGCTGTTTGGCTTTATTTCCATATCTGTGGATATTTGCTATTTCTTCAGCTGGATCTCCTTCCTTGTCTTTTCTTTCTTTGACACAGCCTTAGTTCGGTCCTTATTTCTCCTACTTTGTTTCTTCAAGTCTTTTCTGTAGTTTGTTTTCTTTCAAGTCTCCAGGGGCAGCAGCCAATGTGAAAATCCCCTCCATTTCTAGGACACTGAAAGCTGAAGGAGAATGAAAGGCAAATGTATTCTGCTGGTAGTGCTGCTGCATGTCTGGCTGTCTACTCCATTATTTCATGCTAGATATAATTAGCTGACAGTAGCCAGAGAAGTTGTCGTAAATTTTTTTCATGATTTACTGGCTCCAAATGACTGTACAGCATGTGATGTCTCAGAACTTCATTAAAAGTAGTCACTATGCCTCCCCAAGCCATAAGGCATGCAGCAAAACACCTTTCTTATCTGCAACCTAGTGGAAGTGGAAGTGGTGCCGGGTAGAGACAATGCACCTTCATGCAGAAAAGGTGATGGTGATTTGCTTGCATGTCCTTTAATAACATCTGGCAAAACTGGAGCACAAGTTGTGCACACAAGAAAATGTAAATAGAAGAGTAAGATAACATGTGGGGACTCAGGTAGAATACAATTGCAATATAGACCTCTGTCTACCAGAGGTCTACACTAAGGTCAGGCTTATCTCAATTATTTGACATAAAACCTGAACGACTAAACTGTCAGACATTCAAATATGGTGTCATCAGAGAGCCACAATCAATAACTCTCTTTATTGACCCCTTTAGGGTGAAAAGGGAGAATTGGGTGTGATGGGATTGCCAGGTACAAGAGGACCAATGGGCTCCAAGGTTTGTTAACCAAGTGCTGTGTTTTCAGACATTGGTTTCTAACACTCTGCTGACAGCTGCTTCCCTCATGAATTTGCTGGAAAACATTTATCGACAAATATCTTTTCTAATACAGCTAAAAAGATATGCTCTGCATCAAGTGAGGTTATGTTGTGTGGTTGGGCTTGGCTGTGTTTTTAGCTTTTCCTAAAAATATATATATATTTAATACAATAAATTATTGTAGCTTATTTTTAAAGCAAATTCACATATAATTGTATCACACTAGAAAAATGAAGTTCTTAAATATATCTGCAGCATTAAATCATGTCTGCAATGTTTTCTACCCACCTCATAGACTGTGGAGATCATTTTGGCCCTCTACTAAAACTATGCATATGTATTGACAGTAGGATAGAAGCACAATTTGGTCTCGATGTTCCAGTATCTGCACATCATTGTCTATATCATAGACCCTGCCTTTAAAAATTTAAACCACAACATTTTATGGTACTTCAAAAAAATTAGGTAATCAGTTTATTCAAATAAAGGACTAGAAAAAAGAACTGAACGCCATTATTTGCTGTATGTTTCTTTAAGAGAAAGATCAGTTTTATATTAATGATCACATTAGATTACTTAAGTATTACTAAAAGATATTCCATGGAGGAAAGAAACCAATAAAACACAAACAAACAAAACAGAAGAGGAATATTATTGCTAAAATGATTTTAGATTATTAATTGTGGCATCCAATGCTTTATTCATTCGCAGTTACATTTTATTTCACTTGTTTCAATTTTAAAGCAATATCAAATCTGCTGGCTTTACCTGGCGTTTTCACATTGGCTTTTGGGCTGAATTGTTGTGCCTTTAACTCATATTTCACAGTTCTGTTTCAGTGCCAATTTTAGGAGCTATAAATATTCATTTGCATTTACAAGTTGATGCAATTAATTATTTGTGCTTCGTTCTTTTTCTTCACTTCAAAGTTTGAAAGTCCGGCTTCTTGGGTGATCTCGAAAGCAAGAAGCATTAAAATATCTATCATTCCCTTTAGGGTTTTCCTGGAACTAGAGGAGAAAAGGTCAGTGTGACAATAAAATAATGTATCATTTAATATTGGGAAACAGTTCTGTTAAAAAAAGTAACTGTAGAAATGAGACTGAATTTTTATGAAGTCTAAAGGTCCCACTGAGAAATGAAAAACAAGTATAGAGAAGAAGCACAGTCTTGTGGCTTGGGTTGGGATGTTGAAGAAGTGAGTTTTACACCCTGTCTTCTTGTGGGCGAGTTGTACAGTGAACCTCACTACAGATTCCTCGTTTGTAGAATGGGTATAATAAACCTTAATTTTTGATCTGGTTTAGTTAGGGATACATGTTTTGGCATGGAGACAGTTTTTACTGTAAGACATTACTGTGGGACCTGAACTGGGGAATGAAGCCAACTGGAGGAAAAAAATCAAGTTTGGAAGTATTATGTCCAGGAAAGCATGTATTCAAAGAATTATATTGGGAGAATGAGTCCCTTTTCCTATAGGCCTTGCTCTTAATTCTGTTATAATATCAATAATGAACTGTATACCTTGCTCTGAAGACATTACTATATTCTGCTGACTTCAAATAACACATTGTTATTTGAGAGATATTTTTTGCTTCTTAATGGAATGGTACTAACAAACCTGTTATGTCCCTGTTATGTCTTTCCAGGGATCCAGAGGTGACAGGGGTGACAAAGGAGTCAAAGGAGACCAGGTAATTTTCTTTTCCAGGTCGTTATCATCTTTAACTGAATGTGCTTGTGAAGAGCAATGTACTTCTGACAGCAAAAAACAGAAGTGGCATGGAGGAATGGAGCATGGAAGCATCCTCCTGGGAGGGCAGGAGCAGTGAGGGAAGGCAGTGATCCCATCTGATGTGAAGGTGGTGGGACAGACTCCACGTCTATGTGTCCCCCAGCCCCAGTGGCAGGATGGGGGGGAAGTTGGTGAGTCAGAGGGGGATTTCCCTGGAGGTAACCTCAGTTTCTCCTGGCCTGTGCAGTTCAGAACTGGCAGCTCGCCAGAACGCTTTTAGCTGATGATATGATAATACAGGGAGAGGAGGAAAGGGGAGAGATTCATGTCTTGGTGGTTCTTGTAACTAAGAAAGGAAAAGTAAGCTGCTTTTGATGCAAATGGAGAAACACCATTCCCAAAGGCAGGCTCTCAGAGTTGTCCAGGTAACAGGGCTGCCTGTAGACAAAAGCATGATTGGGATGTTTTTGCCATAGAAGAGGAAGCAGAAAAGCAGAGAATCAGACAGAGGAGTAGCATTACCATACAAAAGGCTTTATTGTAAACTTTTGCTTATAATTCTCCACCTACTGAATCACCTGCAGTGCTGAGTCAATGCGGGCTTTTTTAACTGATATCCATACATGACACTTGTTTTCCTTCCTTCCAAGGAAGGTGTTGCTTTGGCAAAGACCATTACACATTTTCTCATTATTTTTCTCCTTTGACTTCGTAGGGAGAAATAGGCTTCCCTGGAATGCTGGGACAAAAAGTAAGTGGGTGTGATGTGTTGGGGAGTTGTGTTAAATGCTAACACAAGGTCAATTAGTGACTTCAGGGACTTCCTGCAAAGGTCTTGCTTGACTCAATGACCAACACTACTTGGACTTGACCAAATTCTTTAGGTTTTTTAGCTTAGGAGAAAACTCTCAGATTTAGCCGTTTGTTGGTTTTTCTCTTTTTTCTCCCAGATAATTTGTTCAGTTATAATCTTCCTCCTGTTTAACATATCCAAATACTTGATTATAGATTCATAACTGCTCTAATTGTTTGGGTTTTATTCACTTGAAGCTAGTAAATATTTCCTTCTTGATACTCTGAATTGAAGTGGCTCTACTATAAATAGCAGTGATAGCCCTGATAAGTTCTTATGTCATTGATTTTCTGTTCTTGAAAAACAAACAAAATTAAGATGTTGGCTTATGGAAAACCTAAAGGAGGATATTTTTTTACATAATCACATAATATATCTGAAATTAAGATAAGAAGATAGCAGATGCTCCTAAGGAGGTTATGAGTGAATTCACCTCCCTTTCCCTGAGTGTCTTTATAACACATGCATCTTAACAGCAAAGCAAGATTTTACCAAGGGATCAGACAGTTTTGCTAGCCTTGACTTTCCCAAGTATCTGAGCATATTTCTGATCTCTCCATTTGGCCTCCTCTTTATGAAAGGATTTTTCAGGGATATATGGGTAAATTGTAAGAGATATTTTTTACTTTGTGTTTGGTTTAAAATACTGTATTATCATTTTTGATTTTTAAGAAATAAGGCATCTGATTATCTAGAGGAATTGTGTGAATGAGAGCAATGTCCACCTGTTGTCTTGTATAAGGCAGGTATAATCACGTACTTACATCTTGCTTCCTTCCCTCCATACCCATCAAGGGAGAGATGGGCCCAAAGGGACAATCTGGAGTACCAGGACACAGAGGACCTATAGGAAGACCTGGAAAACGAGGCAAACAAGTAGGACCATGGTGTTTCCTCTTCCTGTGACTCATGGCATCTGTGTGATCGTGACTATGACTGTGTGGTTTATGTTCTTTTACCATGCACTGTATCACACGGAGAGCAGACAGAAGCTCTGAAACACCTCACACGCAAACACAGGCTACACAAGAGCCTTAGGGCTAGAACCTTACCTATTCCTTGGCCATGCAGCATGGGAAATGTTTTATTTATCCTGGCTTGGTAACACACTCATTTAATACAATTTGAGCAGACCTTGAACCCTTCCTTTGAATACTAAGCAAACAACATGAAGCTGTGGTCCCAGACCCACCTGATGGCTAAAGAGCTCAAAATTATGCTGATAGAGCTACATTTTCAGACTTTCAGATGAATTGTAAAGAGTAGTAATTGTGTGTATATTGGATATTGATTCCTCCATTATAGCATTTTCCAAGAAGCAGGTAACAATATTGGTATAGTTACCTGTTCAAATCACCAAATGTGCCTCTCTGAGTGCACCTCGCCTTTTGTATCTATTTTAAGCAGTGATATTGGGGACACAAAAACGACCAGTTCCTGGTGCTCTGAATTGTCACCTGCAGAGCCTGTTTCTTTCTGCCAACAGGGAAGGGAACCTGTCCTTGCTACACCGATGTTGGTGTCAATGTACAACTGCTCAGATACAGGAGCCTGTAGATGTGGTTGCCAATGAGCTTACCTGAAAGTATTTTATTTGCAGTCTGATTATGGCCAACATTGCAGTCTGGTTAGGCCCAACATTGCAAAGAGAGATACATACCTCCTTCACTGTTGCTCTGATTCCATGAGGTAGTATCTGAAGTCATAGAATAGCCAGTTGGGGGAAAAAATAAAAGTTGGGTGTTAAAGAGGGAATAACAGGTTCCCAAGTAAGGAAGGCATGTATCGTGTAAGTCTGCTAAATGACCCACAAGAAATATTTTTTTGTCCTAGATTTGTCATGCTTTAAAAGTTGATGTGTGACCTTTGCTGGAATTTTTTGTACTATGCACATAATATCTTCCCACAGCATGAGGCAAAGGGAAGACGCAGTGCCTCCAGATCAACTTGAACACAGTGCAATCCTTACCTGACCTTAGATATTTTGTCACATTACACAGTGCCTTAATCAAAAAGTGGTGACATAAGGTGTGTCATAATTTAAGGAAACTATCAGTGTGACTAAAAGAAGTCTAGTCTGTCCCCAGACTGTCATTTCCTGTCCCAAGGCTCAGTACACAAATCCCTTTCTGGTGCCCCAAAAGCAATTTCAGCATTGATCTTCTGCATGAAAAGCAGCTTTCCCTCTCAATAAATCAGTGAGCTAGCGATTTCCTTTCTTCTTTTCTAATCCTTTGAAAAAAATAGAGAGTGGCACTTTAAGGCTCTATGGGTCTGGCTGCCACGTTTAAGTGCTGTAGTTGTTTGTTCAGCTGAGAGGAGAGTTTCCATCAACATGGGGCCATTTCCTGTCTCTTGATCTCGCTGACAGGGCTAGATGAAAGCAGCTAAATTAGGAAGGTGTCACTTCCACTTCCATTTTGAGATACTTCTTGATTAGCTCACTGACTTCTTCAACTCTTCCCTGCCTCTGGGCCAGGCTCTTCCTAAAAGGTGTCCAGGAAGTGGGAGTCATAAGTCACAGCCTCACTGCTGCTAACTGAGACATAACACCCAAAGCTTTGTAACTTGGGAATTCACCCTAAGGACCAAGTTTAGGGTTTCAGTCTTGATAAGGAGGAATGACTTAGGGCTTTAGATAATGTTACTTTGAAAGAAAAGAGAGGAATATAAATATTGTCAATGGGAAAAGATTATCTGAAAGCCATGGGCACATTTGAAAAAAAAAACCAAGGCAAAAGCATTTAATATGAACCTCTGCCATTATTACTTAATCTGTCTGTGTTAAGCAGGAGAGTATTAAGCAATCGTTCCTCCAAAGCAGGAGACCTAGAACACAGCTCATTTTCAGGCAGTACACATCCGACTGGCGCTGGCTTGCCTCTGCCAAATTGCTATTGTGTGGGGGAAAGAGATTTCCCACAGTCTTCTTTGGGGCTACAAAACCCTGGTCTGCTAGTTCTGGGTTGTGTAATGTAAGAAGTAATTAGAGATCAGCATCACTGACATTCACATAAATCCTGGAATATTTTGATGGCACAGAGCTTACCTAATAGGATTAAACAAAGCAAATCTTCAATTAGTTCTTTATGGGCCATGGCAAAATCAGCCTTCCCCTGCTGAAATGGTGCAAGTGACATTCAAACGTATACGTGGGATATATATACACATATTATATATTACCATATATGCTTTGTTACTCTTAAGTTAAACATACAACTGCTTATCATATGCCTCTGAATGCACATGAACCTGGAATGACACCATCTTCAAGGAAATAATATCCTTTGTCACTAAAAGAAAGCTTACACATTACACATCATTTTTATCATGCTAAATAATGTATGCTGTTACATAAAAATCAACTCAGATATTTAAACTTCAAGCAATGTAATACATTTCTGAAATATAAAGCTGAGAAATCCAAGCCTTTGGGACTATATGAGCAGGAAGATAAATGTAGTTATTTTTAATAAATGTCACCGTATTAAATTCAGGAGCAAAAAATAGGAAGGTGCTGAACAGTTCTATGGTGAAACTTCCAAATGCCTAAGGGTATGATTGCACAAATAAACTCCCATGAGGCAGATCAGGGCTGATTTTACAGAATATTAGCTATTGCATGGTAACTGTGTATAAACTCTTCTACCATAGGTAATTTTACAGTATTTTGACTGCTTGAAAGGATACCAGGGGGACACCATTTGTCAGTATGGTATTGCTACACACTATCTTGCACATTGTAAAGTCAATCCCTTGCTTGCTTTCTGATGATTCGTTAACACAGCTATACCCATGGTGAAAGTCAAGGAAATACAGGAATCCAGGCATCTAAAGTACTTCTGAAAATAGCGTGGGCTTCAAAGTCATTACTGTGCTTCTGAAAGACTGCATCCTGAGACTGGGAAATGTCACTGTGACAGCCTGACAACTCCTTAGTGATTTTCCTCTTTCTTTCTCAGCTGCACTGATTCCTAGAGAGCTACTAGGGGTAAAAAGGCATCCTTAAAGAAGTGCTATCAAAGGGTTGAATTCAGATCAGGGAGATTCCTGACTCGTCACGGAATGGATCCCTGTGACCATTCATATTTAGGAGCAGGAATCCTGCCTGGATGTGCCTTTCTGTCTCCATGTAGGAGGGGAGAGCACATCTTCCCAGGTGCTCATGCTGCATGCTTCTGTTGGCAAATGTCTTGGCTTTCTTGAAAGGGAAGACAATGCTGGAAGAGGTTGTGTGTTACTAATACTTTAGCAAATAAATGGATGTCTCCTCTCTTTTAGGGATTAAAGGGAGACATTGGACCTGCAGGTGTCATGGGTCCACCTGGAAGGCCGGGTCCTATTGGCCAGCCAGGCCCTCCTGGACCTTCAGGATTAGGTAAGCAGAAGATGAGGTAATCTCCTAAAGGGTGTCCCTGGCACATCAGCCCTTCCTGACACAGCACATACACATAGGTCCCTCTGCAAAAAGTGCTGCAGGGCTTGATTGGCTTCTCCATCAGTGGCAAGGAGAGGATTTCTCCCGAAGGTCTTGTCCATTATAATGAGTCTATACCTTATTTTAAAGCTTACTTTATGGCTTCTGATGTTTCAAATAAAACAAAAATTAAAGACTATGTGGTTCTTGTGGGACTTTGGTAGATGAGGAGGCAGCCTTGGAGAGACTAGGTAATCTCCATCATAAAAGGTCTGGTCCTTCTCCAGATGTCCTAGCTTACAGTGAAAGGTCGTGATTTCTGATGAGCCAGGACATACCCTGTGCAGCTCTGTAAAGGGTAAGACCCAAGTCACAGATAAGACCCAAGTCACAGTGGCATTAAGGAAAGAAGGAAAGAGAAGAGAAAGGGATAGGAGTCAAAGAGGAAAAAAGGGCAATGGGAAAAAACTGTCTTTAATTAAATGCTGGAGGTCTATGTTCACTGCAATTGTGCATGTTGTAGAAATCATGAGAAAAACTGTGTAACTGATAATAGTACAGATTAAAGCCGTGCATGCACATGAACTCTGGGCACGTTGTGAGACCACGCATAGGCATGAAGGACAATCCATGACCCACAGTGTATAGTGACAGTGAACCCTCAGGTATATTTTCACCCCAGATATACACTGAAATATCTGAAAAGTAAAGCAAACCCAGTTGGAAACTACTGTTGCTTCAAATGTACAACAGCTGTTTGTAGTGCAGCCGATATGTTCAATGTTCCCTTCCATTTTGCTTTTTTCCCTTTTTCTTCCCTTGCTTTCATCAGTGGACAGGATGTCTCTTCTTGTAGTGGTGTGGAAATGGTAATTCCACAAAGCTGGGAGCAGCTTCAGAGTCTTCATATATCTTGTGTCTCCCACTATGAAACATCTCTGCTTGAGTAAATTAGCTGGCAGTTTTCACCATGCTGATGGGAAGGCAGCCAGGACCTTGAGATTACTTTTTAAAAACTTTATTCAGTCTACAGAAAGTTTATGTGTCAGGCTTGTTAATATTTTTCCTCTAGAATATAAATTCTGATACTAAAAGACATTTATATAATGATGTCACTGTCTGCAGTATGAATATATTGGCTCATAGTCTAATTTTGCAGAACAGTGCATCCTTGCCAAAGTTTGAAAGTCAAAAACATTTTTAATGTTTAATTGTAGAACTCCTGTATTTCTAGATGGTTTTCCTGTACAGAAACTTCTGTAACAGCATTGCTCAAGTGGTTGTACAAGTACACAAGTCCAAAGCATTGTAGATGCATACAGAGACTGAGTCTACAAAACTTGGTGCACAGATGCTGTAAGCTGTGTCTTCATCCGGTCCTGAATTTCTGTAGTTTCAAACAGGTTGACATTTATTCCTGGCAAATGTTCTCTCTCTTCTTCTCTAAAACTGGTAGAAAAATTTACAAGGCTGAGATATTCTGAAATAAAATGACTGTGGTACAAACTGGGATCTTTTTCCAGAAGTACTGGAATTAGTGGTTCTGGTAATCCCTCCCCTCAATTCCCACTGGATTTAGTGGGGCATGTGCATATACGAAAACTTGGGTAATTGTATATATCCACCTGACCTGTACTTTTCCCATTAAGGTTGTGTTTGTGTTTTGTGTATTAACTTCATAACAAGACAATCTGGTACTTTGCTTACTAGGGCAATTCGCAATAGGACCAAAGGGGGAAAGAGGACTTCCAGGGCCCCCAGGGAGATGTCTCTGCAGAAACCCACAACATATGAGTAACCCGTCGTATGAGGAATCTGTGTTTGGACACAGCTATCCAAAAGTTCCTGCGGTAAGCAGATTTTCTGGGAGGGGATGTGAGCGGTCCTTAAGTGCTTTTATTGTAAGAGGTCGTGTACTCACTAATATCTTGGGTTTGACATGGAAGATGTCTGTATGTGGGAAATGTGTGATTTCTAGTATACAAAACCTCTGAGATCCAGCTGGTGCAAAAGACTTTGGTCTCATAACTGGTCTGAGGGTTGTATGATTCATGTGCTGAAATGCAGCTGTTTCAAACCATCGGTAAGGTAGCACATGTTTAGAAATCCCTTTCAAGCCTGAGGATTCTCTCTTTCATCTAGTACTGTACATATATAATCTGCTATTTTTACTTCATTTTTTTTAAATTTTATTTTTATTTCATTAAATCAAAATTTCTAGATTGGTCAGTTTCTTGTTTATTAGTTTGTTTGTTTTGATATCTTCTTCTACAAAGAGGGTGATTTCAGAATTGAATATTGGGGTCAAGTAGTGAACATATACAATAGAACTTTCTACCAAAGTATAGACCCTCTACCTTGAAACAAAAGGGATTTCTACAAACCATGGGAATCAGATTTCTGAACTCCTGTCTGTAGACATACACTTTATGTAGCTAATTTCCATCTCTAGCCGTGAAAACATTTTTATGAGCAAGTTGGACAAAATACTTTAAAGAACAAGGCATTGGTGAAAAGTGAAATCTCTGATTTCTCTGGGTTTTGTAAATACTGTTTATGTCATTTTCCTTCATCTAGGCCCTGCCTTATTATTCTGTGCATTGTAGCACTTAGACAGCAATGAAGATGTTACCTTGCTGCTGTGTATCAGCATAGCCCAGCCACTCCACTCATGCAAGTGGAAATTGTGCAGTCTCTGGTTGTCTATGAATGTCAATAAGCAGCAGTTAGCTTAGTTAACATCTCCATTCACGTTGTCAGAAAGCTGTTACAGTGTGTGAAAGGGACATACGAACAACACTGTCCATTAAACTGGGTCATTGAAGTCAGTCTTTGCATGACTGCATGGCAAGTCTGGCAAGCTGCTCCCACCCTTGGCAGTGTTGCATTACAAAACTGTGACAAAAGCACTGAAATAAAGGTGCATATGACATCACACTGCATGCTATTGCAGAAAAACTGTTGTACTTCGCAGCCTCAAGAACTCATAGGAAAAGGTATAAGGCTCACAATATTATTTGTAGGTCTTACTACCCTCCTTCTCCTTCAGGCACAGTTTCATACTAGATCTTAAAAGACAGTAAAGAGAGTGTAGCTACCTAAAATAAAAGTACCATACGCTACTGCTGTGAGCCCTCATATGATGATGATTGAATGCTATTTTGTTCTCAGGAATGTGGGATGGCAAAGAGGCAAGGCCTAGCTCTGGAAGTGGAGCACTTGCAGAGCAGTGCTCCCTCTTCACCTGCCCACCCTATTTGTTTTACTTCCTCGAGTGTAAAGAGCAGGAACTTAAACATCACTATTGTTTATTATGTTCAGATCCCCACGTAGCAGCTTTGAAGCCTGTCTTGTACCACTTGAAAACTATCGTCAGGATTTCCATAGCTGCACATGAAAAAGACACAGAGATGGTGCTCTGTGCCCCAATCCCTGTGTTCCAGGGTTTGCCAAAGCAGCATCCAACTGCAGCACATCCTCGGTGCCATCACCCACGCACCCGCCAGCTCCTCCAATGCCAGCACTGCCAGAGGAGGGCTGAGACTGAGAAACACAGAGCTGTTTTTCCGTCACTGGCTAAGGTTCATTCTGGTTTTTAAATCTTTTGCAATTTCAAAGGCCAGTAACTGTAATAGAGAGTTTCAGAGAGCACAGATCTGCTATTGATTTCAAGAGAAATGGCAGCTCTGGGGCTGGGCTGTGAGCTCCTGAATGCAATTACAGAATCATTTCTTTGCTGACTTCCTATTTCTTTGCTTTCTTTCATTCAAGCTGAAGGCATTTTTATTCAATGCTTATTTAATGAAATTGGCCTTTGTCCAGAGCTATGGAATTATTCTGTTATGTAAAAATTTCAGGGTAATTTGTTTTTAAAAGAGCCAGTTCTGTTTATGCTGGTGGGAGTCAGACTCAACCCTAAATCCATTTTGCTCAGAAGCACTCTTGCTTTTTCTTAATTTAAAAATGGTTTGAATCTTGCAAAAATTAAATTGATTAAGCTGCTTTGGAAGAGAAGCAGCTTCCTTCTCTAAGGAAGAGACTGTGTTCTAATGCCTCTTACATCCAATTTCACATGAGACATTAAAAAATGGGTAGAGTGCAGCTTGTCCTGATTTTTCCATTTTGAACTAATTTTTTTCAGTTTAATTGAAGACTTGGCTCTAGAAAAAAATATATGCTATAAAGAAACATGTATTTTAATGCAAATTAAATCTAAACAAAGTAGCAAAAGATAAGCGAAGGTTGTCTTGAGCCATGTATCATTTAATTTGTAGTGACAATGTCTTAAATAGTTGTAGATAAACCCACAAAAAGCACTTGTGCCCATATGGATTTTGCAATTGTTCCAGCATCAAGCCATTTGAGCACCTGACAGTTCTTCTCAGCAATGACTGTGCAGAGGTATTTGAATGATCCTTATCTGTGGATATTCATTTTGAAACTGGGGCAATCGGAGTCATAGCTGGGTGCTCAGAGAAGACCATTCTCCTTTGGAAAACTTGGATCTCTTCTTACCAGGAGCCTCTTGTGGTCTGGCAGTCCATGGGTGTAAGTTCTCACACCGTCCTGTTTCAGAAGACAATCAAACCATTTTTCTGTGTAATTATTTACCTATTTGCAGATTCATATGCCGGTTGACAAAACTCAGTTCTGTGACAATCAAAAAAACTTCTTGAGAGGGTTACCAATCACTTCTTTTTCTGTGCCCCAGATTTTTGTGGTGAATAATCAAGAAGAATTGGACCGGTTAAACACTGAAAATGCGTTAGCTTTTAGAAGAGATCAGAGATCTTTGTATTTCAAGGATACCTTTGGATGGCTCCCAGTCCAGGTGAAAATATGGTCTCAGAAAACTCGTGAGTGTATATTTCATTTTGAAATACAGAACATACTTCTGTACTTAAAGTGTCATACAAAATCAATTAAAAAAGTTGAGAAAAAGCTCATTTTTCAGCGGTGCCACAAATGTACATAATTCTGTGAATTTTGTTCACAGGAGTCTTAAATACTGAGGCATTAACTCAGCACTCTTGCAGGTTTTGCTGACCTCTCTTTGAATCAGGTTCCACTGGTGAACAAACTGGGGCAGAGTTTGGGGAATTAAGGTAGTAAAGACCATTTTTTATTTAATACAAAATAAGGCAAAATTCACTAGGGTACAAAGAACATAAACCCTGCAAACCAAACCCATGTATTTCCTTATTGCTTCAAGGAGCTAAGCTAAATCCCACTGAAATCAGCAGCAGGATCCTTCCTGTATCCACTAGACTTCGAATCAGATTCTGTATAAACTCTGTGAACCACCAACTAGCAGGATCTGCCTCCCATAGCCCTTCAACTCTGCTTGCTAGCCAGGTTGCTCCTGGTCTGGTTCAGTAACCACTGTGTGTTTGTTTGGTCAGCTCACCCCTTTCTATCCTGTGGATTACCGCTTTGAGGATAGTGGTACCTGTGGAGATGGGATCGTACAGGACGGGGAAGAGTGTGACGATGGCAATGCAGTTGTGACCGATGACTGTATAAGTAAGTTACAGTGCATCAAGAGAGGCTTCTTTCTACCAGGGAAGGTGCATTAGTTGTTCCTACAGGGTTCTGTGTAAATCACACAAGCGTTTCACTCAGGAGAGCTTGTGTGGTTTGTGAATCAAGCGCAGGCACAGGGAAAGGGGGGCACAATGACCACAGTGTGAAAACTGAGGTCTTTCATGTATGTGGATGGGACACACCAGCACAAGACAGAGATGGCAACAGGTACTTCTCATGCATCCTCACAGAGGACTGTGTACCTTACTGAGCAGAGGTATCTGCAGTCAGAGCCAAAACACCGCATTTCAGGGGTCAAATTCAGCAGCTGGTTCACATACACACTTTCCCAAGGGACTGCCAGCTCTCTGTCTAAAAGATGTAGCATACCTTTGCAGTGCACCAGAACCCTTGGGATAGAGACTGAAGCTGGCTGTGTCTTATAGTAAACTAGGTCCTGGGTCCAGAAACACTGCTTTGGATTTTGTTATTCACTTGCATAGGGAACATGTTAGCCCGCTACCTTCACCATTAGGTTTATACAACATTTAATTCTTGTCTACTCAATCTTCCTTCTATTTTGCTGGGTTTGGATAGCAAAGAGCATATAAGCATTCAAGCAGCTGTGGTAATCTTCTCCCCCTCAGTTACTTTTATGGCTTGAATCCTTCCCCAGAGCGCAGCACTACACCTTCCCCACATAGCAGGTTTGGTACTCTTCTGATTCTAGCAAAGGGATGCTTCTTCACATGTCAGAGCAGTATCAGCCAACATTGAAAGATGCCATTTTTTATTTATATATCCTTCTATTTTTTAACCTGACTTTGAAAACAGAGTGTATGCAGCCATACTCTATGTGAGTTTCTCCATCCACCTTCCATCACCACCCTCCCCCTTATAACTCAAGAATCCCAGCCAGCTTCTCAGTGACAACAGGAATGAGATTTCAAATGCAGTTCAATCACAACAGGCATAGGGAGACACATAAATAAAAGCTCCTCTAAGTTTGCCTGACTGCAGAGTAATACAGAGAGGGAGAGCAGGATCTGTCCAGTCTCCAGATATGAGAAAATGATTCAATTAGAATTTGCAGTCAACTGTGGGGAACAACCATGTGGGAAAATAGTGCTCATTAGTTCTAGTGCCTGCAAAATTGTACATTGTGTGTCTGAGGGCACATCGTGTTCTCTGTGCTACACACTGGGCAATTGAGGCCTTGCAATACATAGGTTTCTAACACTGATGTGACCCAAAGAGTAATCATTAAGTCACTTGGAAATGAGCACATTGTCATCATTCTTCTTTTGGAACTGAAACAAAAGAAAAAGGCTAACCAAATGTTAAGTGCATTTAATTGTAAAATAGGCTCATTAGTCTTAGAAGCATTAATTTCTAACAAACACATCCTTGGTGCAAATAATTAATCATTTTTATTTGTAAATAACCCACTTTAACCTTCATAAATTCCCTATTCCTGAGTGTCCTTTCAATCCTTTGCTTAATAGCGATGAATTTTCCCAGAAGATGTCAAAGGCATTTTAACTAAATGAGTTTGTTCAAGTTATAAAGTCATTCTCAATATACTGAAGACATCAAAAGCAAAGTCTTATTGCTAAAATGGCAAAAATTCCCCAAAATTACTGCAGCCTACATGTCAGTCACCATGAAAAAATGTCACAAGTCTGACTCACGTTCAGTAGGAGTCAACAGAGGGAAAACCACATTTTTACCAATCATTACATTCCTTTTTTTTTTTTTTTTCTTTTATAGACAGGCAATAGGTCTGCATAATTCTGTTCATGGTGGGAACTCACAGTAGACATATATAGATATTGTGCAATATTGGAGAAAGGTCTGGGATGGGATTTTCAAACCACTTAATGACCTCAGATTGTTTTGGGTTTTTTTTGAGATTGGGACCCTCTCCAGGTCATTTATGTTAACTGTATTTGATATTTCCCTTGACTTGTTTTGATAGTAATTATCTAAGGCAATAACAATTTTTAAAATAAATGCTGTTGTAATTGGTGATTCTGTAGTAATTATTTTTAGTATTTAGTCATTCTTTCTCTTGGTCATTGAAATTAGGCTAAAAAAAGCTCATTCTTTATAGTGAAGAATATTGCTTCTCCTAAGACAGTCCTTACAGGACTTGTTTAATACTTAACTCTTAAAAATCTAGTTTCACTTACTTTACCGGTTCCTTTTACATATGAAGAGCCTTGAAGGTGTTTCTTTGTTTTTCACTAGGATGCCGCCGTGCTTACTGTGGAGATGGCTACAGGCATGAGGGGGTTGAAGACTGTGATGGGAAGGATTTTGGATATTTGACATGTAGAACATATCTCCCTGGGTATGTATGAGAGGGTCTTAGCTTTGATTTGAGGTTTTTCTTGGTTGGTTGTTTGGTTGGGGGGTTTTTTTTGGGTTTGGTTTTTTGGTTTGTTTTTTGTGTGTGTGTTTTCTTTCTTTTTTCTCTTTGCTAGCTTTAAAACAGAGTAGTATCACCCACTTAAAACTTGTTCTACTGGGACCACTACAGGCAAGGGGGGGGAAGATAGAGTCTATCAAATTATTTCTGCATATCATTTACTTTAAGGACTAAATCTCATTTCTCAGTAATAAGCATATGCTTCTTACTGTACAAAATGAGCGAAGATCACATAGACATATATATGCCCATTTCTTGCCAAGATTTCCTCATTTGGTCACATCATCATTGCATTAACGACTACCGATGACATAGCAAGAATAGGAAAAACCATGAGGAGGAGATGATAGCACTGAAAGAAAAAAAAGACCCAAACCCACATGCTCCAACGGACCTCCCGCTGCCTTTTTCGTTAATTAGTACTCTAAGGGTATCTTTGCTTCTGAATCCACTGGGCATCTGTCAGCTTTTCCAAAGAGCAGGAAATTCACTGCCGACAGATGCAAAGCCATGCATCTGCTTAGCAATGTCCTTCATTTGAAACATCTGCTTATTGTTAACTTGCCTTCTCTGCCTTTGTTTAAGCACCTTCCTCTGGTCAGCTTTTTTCCTCCAACGGCAGCACCTCTATTTAACTGTCAGGTATTGTTACTGGCTAACAGGAAACAATTAATTTGCAAATTAAATTATGAACAGAGCCCTCATCACTCAGGGAACAATGATGTGCTAATTGACAGGAATAAGAAACCACAGGATGTCTTTGTAAATCAAGTGCTGTGCTAATCCTTCCATTGTAATTGTTGGAGCACTCCCGGTGTAAAAGATTACTAAAATCCAGACGAGTAGACCTGCAAACCTGAAACATTTTACAGAGATATCATCTTCAGGCGGTGTGGAGCTGTTTTCTACTGCAAAAACCTTCCCTTCTTGTCGCTGGGTATCCGTCGAAAGGTCTCGGCTTGAAAGGGGGAAGGACAGACGACACACACGAGGATGATGAGACAAAGGGATGTCTGCCCGCTACGCTGAGCAGGCAGCTATTTATTAGGTGCCAAGTTCCCCTTTTCCCATACATACATACTATAAACATTTTCCTGCAAAACACCCAGGAATGTAACACCTGCAGTTTGTTAAAACAGCTTGACCTTGTACTGTCCAACTCTCAGGGCTGTTTCCATGGGAATATGCAGTTATCTCCACCTTTCTCAGGGGAACGGTCTTACTCCCCTGGACACCTCTAGCTCTTCTGCTTCCAGGGGGCCCAGGGGTTCCATGGGCCTGCCATCTCCCCCCACACCTTCTAAAAGTCTGAAGTTTGGTGCAAAAGATAGCACCACAAAAGCTTGAGAAAATTTTATAAATTTCACTTTGCATATATTCAAGTTGTGAAGAGCAACTGAGGTTCTTTATTTTTTGTGTGTGTAGTCTGAAAATTATCTGCCAAACTAAAGAAAAAGCTGTGAATCATGAGTAAAGTGGGCTGAGTATGTGAGCATGGCACTCACATGGGAGTTTCATCCCAAAGCAACCTTTCCTCCAAGAACTCTGCTGCAACTGATTTTTCCATTTTCTACTCTTTCCAGCCCACAAACTTCTCCTCCTCCTATCACACATCTTCACTTTATATTTTATGTTGGTATGAGAATGTGGGTTATCCAAGGACATAGTTTTAAGGCTGCTTAGTCCACATCTTGGCACTATGGATTATTCACTTAGACATATGTCAGCAATAAAAACTCATTAAAATCCTTATTAATGTCTCTGGTCAGGTCTTCAGTGGGTAGTCACTACAGTTCAGTTTGAGTCAGTAGAGAAACAAAAATCTCTGGTTTTCCTTATTTTGCAAGGACTCCTCCATTTACTTTTTTTATTTTATTTTATTTCAAAGGTGGGAATGTGTCACTCTCATTATCTCAAGTACATGAAAAATAAGTTAAAGGACAGGCACAGTAACACCTGCTGAAGCTATTGGGAGTAACTGGAAAAACACTTATCTCAGAAGCCTCAGATATTTCATTACATAGTTCCCGTGGGCACCAAGGCCTTCTGCATCCACTCCCACGTAATGCTCAAGTCCTGCTGTCAATGGGGATTTTATTTTTTTAATTGACATTACTGGAAGTTAAACCTTCACTCGTGGTTTCTCCTGGACTCTTATTTTGCTGACAAAGGAGAACAGAGTGGAGCATGATAGAAATTACCCTCCTTTTTTGGTTCCCATATGTTACTGCATATGACATGTTCTGATGCTCTTCACTCCTACAGATAGTTACATCCAGAAACCATATAATGTGAACTGTAGCATATTTTGAAACTGAAATATTCTCTTTTATTTTAGGTCTTATGGAAAATTGCGATGCACTTCCTATTGCTACATTGACTCCACACAGTGTCGATACTTCACATGAAGGAGCGGAGGTGGGTAGCATCCCACTTGTAGCAGGGTGGTAGGTGCTACACTATCATCTAACCAAGAAGGACTGGGACTAAAAAAACACCCCACCCACCTCTGTGTGAAAACAGATAGACGTCATGCTGCTGATGGCCATTTGGAGATATTTTTCTTTTTTAAAAATCGTCAGATTGGGAAAAAATAGGACCACTGCATCCTGTCTTAATAGAGAAATGTCAAACAGTGTGTGCCAGTAAGACTTTTATGCAGCCATGGATGGCAACTTGCTCTCCATCACAAAGCAACATTAAGCTACTGGAAACTGAGCTTCATCAACCAGAAATATTGTGTAACAATTACCTCTAGTCAGTACTGTTAAACCCAGATATAGGCTCTTCAGAGGTTTTGTCTTTAACCCTTCCCAGCATAAACACAAAGCATATCTTGAATGTGGTGTTTATAGGGACTTTCTCTTTTATTACAATGTGAACTTTGCAAATGTTGTATCACCAATGACTTCAGCGACATTAAGCTTAACAATACTCCTTTCAAGGGTAAAAGGAGTAGAGGCCCTTCAGTAAGTGATTTCAGAATCAACAAATCAGCCAAAAAAGCTGGTTAACTTCACCTTCAGGCGAAGACATTTGTCTCATTTGTCTCTCGTGTGCATGCATGGAAATGCAAGCAGTCACAGGAGGCCTGCAACACAGACCACAACAAAGAACAAACTGCACAAATAAACTGTGAAATAGCCAAGAAGTTCTCTCCCAGGATAAAATCAGACAAGGAGGGAAGACAAAGAAGGAACCTATTTCCCTATGTTTTACCTCTGCGCGGAGCTGGCTGGGCACTGCCTGACCCCAAGGGGCTGCGACAGCATCAGTGACCTGCCTGAAATCACAGCATGACCACATGCACATTACTTTCACTCTGGTGTCTACACTGGAGGGTCTCTTCATTTTTATCCCCTTGTCCACCTGACCATCATCGTTCAACTACCAGTTATATACTGTCCTCTCCCCTTCTCCACTCGCTGTTTCCACTATTGTGTCTGGGATACTCCCAGTGTCTGTCCTCACTTTTGTATTGCTGTAAATCAAATCTTGGAGTAGCGTGTTTATGGATGCTCATTCATGTTGCGCAATGTACATGTTTTTTGGTTTTTTGTTTTTTGGTTTTTTTTTCCAGAAAGTTCACTCAACTATATTAGCTCTGATAGGAATCAGGGTAATTATATACTTATTTACTAGCAAGTATTAAAGAGCATATTTCACATGGGAAGCCTATTAAATGTTACGTGAAAAGATGTCTATAACAGCAAATGAAACAAGGGATGTGCAGAATTCAGGACTAAAAGCCTTAAATCTAGGCATTATTTTCATACAAGCCACTCTTTTCTGCATTGAGTAAATCTTGCTCAGGACTCTGTGAAATGTGTGACTTATCTGTACCAGTGAAAGCACTGCAACAGCTGCACTTACACTGGCACTTCCATAAAGGTTAAGTAAATGTGGATGTTGCTTTATAATGATAATGCATTAACATAATCAAGAAATGCATGCAACTTTTACCACCTACCTAAAAGACTTTAGCTATGGATTTCCAAAATTATACTGAAAACCACCAATCACTGGTAAAAAAAAGGAAGAAAATTAGTGTACTCTTCATAACTATCACTTACCTGGGCTATTTGTGTCACTATGAAGCCAAGCCACCAGCATTTGTAGCCCAGTTCAATAGCTCAATTTTTTTTTTTTTTTTTTAACTGAGGTCTTAATAAAAGGTCAAGGTATCACTGGGGCAAGAAACTTGCCACAAACTCTGAAAATCTGGGCACTAGCACAGCTGCCTTTTAATTTCTTGTGCTTGTGGAAGCAGTGGGTTCCAGCAACATCCTGCCACACAGGAGCATATGCTGAGAGGTTCCCTTGATTGCTGGCCCAGGGATCTGCTGGGTGTTACCATCCTGGGCTTGGAGACACTTCATCTGAACTCCTCACCTTCTCCAAGGAGTTCATCTCTACTCCCCAAAAGGCTAGAGTCTCTGAGAAATTTGGTAATCCCACTGGCTTTTCAGTTTCAAGTTCAATCATTTTCAATTAAAAGCTCCCTACCTCCAAAGGGCATTAAAGTAACACAGCTAAGATGTAGAATATGTAAACAGGAGATGTGATTGCCTAGGTAAAACTGTACTGTGATGCACATGCTCAGGAAAGGGCCTATTAGTCTGGTCAGTCTGAGGACATTTGTAAGTCATGGATTTTAAATGGACTTTATTAATACAACACAAACAATTTGGTATCTTAACAGAAAGAAAGCAATGTAAAATGTAAGGAAACAAAAAAAACCCGTTTCATACTATATTACTACCTTATTCCCCTCAGATGATAAAGCACGAAAAAGACACCTGGGAAGGTGTTAAGTATATATGATTTAAAAGGCCACAAAAGAAATCCTTCATCCTTATTTCTGACATACCTGATTTATCATTAATTGGAGATTCTTCAGCTGGGTGGTGCCCTGGCCTGCTGCGAGTTGTCTTCCCTCCTTCTCTGAGTTTCTTTACACATTGTGCCAAGACAGGTTCAAAAGTTAATTGGGATATTTCAGGTCCAAGGCCTTGTGTAGCAGCAAATTGCTTGTGGGAGAGTTTTCTAATGATTAGTATGCAACTCTAGGCAAGTACAAAACCATTAGGATCTTATGTCATGCACTGTATTAATGTATACCAAAAATCCAGCTTGCACTTAATATATGATCAAACATATGTAATTACCTACTGCGTATATTAGCAGCTCATGTCAATAAATCATGCTGCCTTAGTTCCCCTATCTCCTTACTTCCACTTATTTAATTTTGGGTTTAAAACCACAGTTTTTAAATATAATTATCTAGTTTAAGATCCTGGGGAAGGAAAAAAGCCAATACCTCCTTTTCCATGCCATCTGCCTCTCCCTGCCTGCTGTTGGATCCAGCCCTGTGCAGGCACACTGATGTGCATCAGTCTGGGAATGTATGCATTCCTGCTCCTGGGCTTGCTGCTGCCTCAGCCCCAAACTGACCCATGCAACACGCCATGAGCAGAACAGCACCCCTTTCACTGATTTCTGATTGGAATCTGTAATGTACTGGTTTTTAATAAGGCTTTGGGCTGTGGTTTGGGGGATTATCTCCTCCTGCTACCTGATAATGTACTGGCTGCTTTGTAACTCCTACCGGAGGCTGAATTGATAGCTGCAAATCAGAAAGCAACAGCACAGTATGCTGATGGACAATGGGAATGCTGATGTTGGCACCTAGGCTTCAGACGGTTGCAGCAGCTGGCACCCAGGCTTCAGGAAGAGGGTACTGCCTTGCTGTAGCAGCTTGCAAATCTGTTGGACCAAGGCTTTTTGTATAACACAGCGTCCTAGAAAAGGGCAGTGCTGCCTGTCCCCAGGGGAAATTGAAGTGTATTGACAGACAAAGAATGAATGAGTCTTTGGAGTGGTATATTTTCTGCTTGTCCTACGTCATTTCTTTCTTCACTTCAAATCATTCAAAATTGTAGCTGTCAATGCTATCCTTGCCCTTAAATCTGATCATGCACCTCATCTCCTCCTTTCTTTCTTTCTTCTTATGGTTTCCTTTAATGGCACCAAAGTTCATATCCTTTGTAGTTTCTCCAAAATTCTGCAATGCCCTCGCTGCTCTGCGGGCTCTGGGTTTCGTCAGCTTCTCTTTCAGTCTCTCACTTCATCCTTTTTCTAACATCTTCTGCTTGTTACAGCCCTGTAAATGTCGCAGCAAAGCCCCTTGTTCACAGTTCTTACCTTCTAAAAATTGCATGGTGCAAATACTTCAGTCCCACTGATTTGGACAAAGGGAGAGGGGATTGGTGGTTATCCTTAAAGTGGGAGTCCCCCAGAATAGTCACTGTCCTTGAGCACCAGCTGTTTATGAGGAATAATAGTAATAAGTCCCCAGCTAACTGCTTTTGGGGACAGTTCAACAGCTTTGACACTTGGCTGCCACATACAATCAGGAGATGTATTAAATAAAGATGACCAAAATTAACCCAAGAGAAGTAAACCAGTGCTGTTCTGTGATTCTTTGGTGATATTAGAGTGTATCATGCACAATGCTGCAAGGAGATCTTTGAAGAGCTGTTGAAAAAATCATGTTTTAATTCACAAAGGGTGAGGGAACAGAAACCACTTTCTGACATAGTTTCAATTTCTTCCTGTGATAGTTTTTGCCTAAGGAGATGGATATGGTAGGGCAAGTGTTTCTTCCCTGGAAACCATTCCCTTTAAAGGAAAGCATAGAGTAATGGGCTAATGAACTCTGCTACCAGCAGCATAAGGTGCTGGTAAAAAGACAACTAAAGCAGGCAACTGGTGAAATTAAAATTTGGATCAGGAATTTGGATCAGAGTAACTGATGTTTATTAATCTGGTAAGGGACCATGCAACTTGCAGACTATCAGAGCACTGCCAAACCTTAACCAAAGACAAAAAAGAAACAAAGCCTGAGCAAAGGACCATTTGTGTCTTTATTGAACATAGTCAGCAAACACTCTCCCCCCCCCTTCCCCCACCCCGGTATTTATGTGTCCAGTTACATGCTCAGCAATGTGCTCTATGCTGAAAGTTGGTGTCACTCCAGGGTTGAAAAGGCCAGAGCAAAGCCTGGGCACATGTTTTCATTGCATCAGTAATTACTGGGGCATTTAAGAGGATGGCCCTGAACCAGACCAGCTGAGGAAAGGCTGCATTTGAAAGGGTGGCCAGGCCAAATTATATTAGAGGAGTGTATTCTTGCTGGAAATTACATTAGTGGTTACTTCCCTCCCTCCACTACCAACAAAATCTTGGCACTTAAAAGGCACTGAGTTACAGCCCTGGCCTTTTAGGGCTCTTAATTCACTCTGACAGTTTCCTGAGCATCTGATGGAGGGTCTAGTTTGGATGCATAATCTTCTTGAGAGAGAATAGGGTTTAAATAGCTGTATTTTGCTACTGCCTTTCCATGCATTGCTGAACAAGCAGCCCTCTCTGCATGGACTACTGCTCAGGATTTTCTTTGGAAAGGAGGGAGAAAGAGCTGAAGCCATTAAAGCCTCTGATAGCAAAACCAAGAGGTGCAGCAGGGCACTGCATGGACCAGGAGCCACTCTGGCCATTGTGGTCAGAGTGGGAAGGGGCCTCATGCCGCCACACATGCATCAGAGCATCTCATCTTCTTCAGGAAAAGCTGTCTGCTGGACAGTTCCCAGGGCTAATAGTACTGGTGACATCTCCTGCAGGACAAAGGACAGGAAAGGACAAAGCACTCCCTGAGCTGTTTTGCAGGTGCAGCTGGGAGCCTGCCTGGCTGGTGTACAACAACACAAACACAGAGGCTTGACAGAGCAGGCATCTGAGCTAATGGCACAATAAATCAGCCAGGAGGAAGAGAAGGTAACATTAACCTACACACACAGCAGCATGTTTAGTATATTTAGAAACTCAGCAACTGATGATCCTCTCTTAGCCAGTCTAAAGTGTCACCATTTAATAAGTGAACAAACTGACATCAGCATTAAATTCAAGCCCATGGCAAGATGTCTTTGACCTTTCTGCCAGGTATGGAGGAAGTTTTCAAGATTCATCTTGGAGAGGAGTCAGAGTCCTGTCAGGGTCTGCAGCATCCTCTGTGTAGGGTAAAGGTGAGGGGTTGGAGAAGGAGGGGTTGATAGTTATTCACTGTCACCCTTCCAGGAGGAAGCAGCACCCAATGGTATTTTCCACAGAACCACTACTGAATGCTGGTTTAAGACTTGGAAATGCAGGCATGTAACATTTATTTTCCTTTGCTCTCTTAAGCAGAGCATCTCCAAGTTGGTGGAACAAACAGAGAATACCTTGAGGACCCCATGTGTTCCCCAATCCCATCATGGGGGTCCAGAAACTTTTTAGTGATTAATTTTGTTTGGAAGAAAAGAGCTCCCGTTGTTTGCTGCCCTTCTCATTTCAATTAGCCATGCTCCCCAACGAAACTTATCATGCATAAGTTGGGAGAGGCTGCCCTGAGCCAGCCAGACATTTGGGGTATGTTATGTTTGGTCCTTCTGATGCCTTCCTCTTGAAGGTTATTTGATTGGCAAATGGAATGCAGAGGAAACTGGCAGTGCTGACAGTTTATAGTAATATAATTTCTTCTATAAATTTCTGATGGGTTTGACATCTTACCTACCTGGCACTACTGCTCTGAAGACAGGGTGTGCAAAGAAAGAGAATATTGAAGGTTGCTTAAGTTTTGAGTTGTTAGCAGATTTAAAGGGGAGAATGACTGATTAGAGACAAGGAACAAGGAATAGTTCAGGCAACTGAATTGTCTAGAAGTGGTCTGTTGAAATGTGTATATTATGGGCCAAGACCCACAGGGAGTCTGGTTGCAAAGTACAATAAAAAGATGGATTTAAGCTTTCATGCTCCAGTACATTCAGATAAACCATCATAAACCATCTGGTGACCGTAGGGACACATCACTCTTTTGCCATCATTTGACCAGAGATTAGTTGTCAAACCCAGCAGCAACCCCAAAGCAGAGGCGTGGGACCAGTGGGGTAATGCTGGCCATCTCACTGGTCTTGGTGGGTGCAGTGAGGGGCAAAGAGGCTTGCTCTGTGCCAGGACTTTTTTAGCAAGACATTATCTGGTGTGAAATGCTGCAGGATTACAGCTTCTAAATAAAGCCCGGAGAGTTGTACCTGTTGCTGCCTTGGGTAAGCAAGCTCTGTGTTAAACTGTCTGAGACCAAGCTGCTATGCTAATTTAAACATGTCAAATATTTGTTCTCTGCTCCACACTACCACATTATTTGATAAGCAATAATGTCCTGTAGGTTTGTCAGGGAGTAACCACATGGCAGGGAGGACTGAATTGCTGTAACTGGCCCATGGGGCAAATAGCTTGACATTATGGAGTTTGTACTGGGTACAGGCAAGGAAGAACAAAGCCCTAAGGACATGCAAATAATGGGATTATTCTTTCTGCATTCAGCAGTCTCTTAGGCCATTTGGAAGAGGAAACCCATCCTCTCTTTACCAGTACTGCCCCTGTATTTTGCAGCCCTGAGGATGGTGGGACTCCAGCTGCAGGGTAAAGAGAGGTAAAGCTTCCCTTGACATGCAAAACCCCCCAAAAGGCCGTGAACGATGTCTCAGCAACGGGGCATCTGCAGTACTGTAGGGTGATGCCAGGTGGCTCAGGTTTCTCTCCTTCCTTGCAACATTCATGTCCAAGTTTCACTGCTGTATCCATGGCAGATGCATTGCACCAGGATTTGGGAGTGGAAGGAGTTCTCCTCCACACCCTTACCGTTTGTGGTTCACCTGAAGGTTGTCACTGAGGCTGAGAGACACATGCTTGACAGCTGTGATAAAACAAGATGGTCATACATGTCTATTTATTTAGGGATATAAAGCAAGGCAACTTTCCAGACCCTCCCTTGGTTTCTCCAAACTTTGAAGCCTGTAAGAAAAGTTCTTTAAGGCAGGACTCTCTCAGTAGATTATTTCATTGCTTCTTTCTGTTTTAATAAAAAGGGTGATAACAAATAGCTGGTTTTACAAGTTCTATTTGTGCAGAAATATCCTGCTTTTATGTGTTTTTAGGTATCTCTATCAATAGAGCAGAAAGCAGAGCTCCATTTGAGATGGTCAGTGGACGAAAAAAAATACAAATGCGGACAGATAAATCCATTCCTTGTATGGATAACAGGTACATACAGGCTGTGAACATTGCCTAATAATATAGGGTTAAGAAAATGTAAATTAATATTTAATTACTTTATCCAAAGCGGAAGAGCTTGGACAAGAGTCCTATTTCAGAAGTAGCATAGCCTGGATGTATGAACGCTCCACACAAGTAAAAGACTGATATAAGAAAACAAAGCGCTATATGAAGAAACTTTTGGGCTGGCTGATAAGAAGCAAGTGCTTTGAAATAGTCGGGGGTTTTCCCCAGATTCTGTCCAGGGGCTGGTCTGAGCCCCAGGGGAGAGAAGCCTGCTCAAGGTGACTGATGAAGCGTGAGGCAGTATAAGTAACAATGACTATTTATACACTGAGAGTGCACCGTAATTTAAAGGTGACAGAATACAGATCCTTAACAGACTAGTAGGGAAAAGGAATTCAGTAAGCTGGATTGAGGAAAATAAATTGTGAAATGTCCTGGCAGGATCCAATGAGTGACTGGAACATTCAGTGTGTTCCTGACAAGGGGAAAAGCATGTACAAGAAAGTTCCTGTGCCTAGCTGGCACATCTGCTGAGGTAGGGCTGTCAGTGCCTCATAGCAGGGCCAGGGGGACAGAACGAAGCTCTGTGCAGGAGAGTGGGCCTCTTTCTCTTGACAAGGGTCTCCCACTGTGTTTTTGGCAAGAAAGCTCTCCCAGCTTACCCCAGCACTCAGAGGGGTACAGGTTTCACAGAGACACCCATAGCACCCCACTGCAAACACCCCAAAAAGCTGTCTGTTCTTTGTGCCAAAGCTGTTGGTTTGGGAAAGCTGGTTGTTGCTCAGTGTGTGGGACGTGGAGTGTCGGGCTCATGAGTGTCAAATACCTGAGACCACAGCTCAAATGTCATGTTGGGGAGCAAGCAGGGTGGGCGAGGGGAGGCAGCACAGCAGAGGCTGCGCAGGCTGAACGGTACTGGCTTCCTCCTGCCTGCAGGAAGGAGGTTGGGTACCAGCTGCTAAGCAAGAAAGCAAGTGGAAAACTATGACCTATAGGAAAGGAAACTATGTGAGGCACGTCTGGTCTCTGAAGACTACAGATGAGCTGGTGATACCAACACTGGAAACAGATGCTAAACTGATTGGAAATTATTTTGGCAGAATGCCATAGCTGGAGCAGGAGCCCTGGTGCAAACAAATTGATGCAAAATGCATTCTGAAGTCTCAGATGTGTTTTGATTTTGAGAAAATAGTGAGCTGTTTTCTCTTTGGCATCACCGCAGGACTTTGCACAGGCCACACACTAGTGCATCTTGCTGAAAGCAGTTAGGTACACACTTGGAAAGTGGCCAAATGCTGCTGGTTGGCACCAGGACCCATTCAGGGAAGCAGCATCTTAGTGACTCCTTGGCTGACAGCTCTGGAAGGAAACCAGTATCACCAATTTCAGCTTCTCCTGCTGCCTGCAGAACTCCTGCACTAATGGTGACATCTCACTAAAGCAGTGGATAAACAGTGGAGGACCCTGGAGAGATTTTAACAGAACACCAGCAAAGTAATATAAGCTGGTATAAGGTGAAGGTTATGGGAATGCAAGAACACACCAAAACTTGGAAGAGCCTATTACCCTAATCCCCAAAGCTGGGGGTTGAGCCTGCACTACCATCAGTGCAGCTTCTGGTAGGGCAGGGAAGCTTTCTAAGACTGATTTATTTATTTTTTTAATGGTAACACACAAGAAACAAATCTAAAACCTGTGTTAGACACAAAAGGAGAGGAATAAATATCTGTTAATTAACACATATATTTGGGTCAATATATTGAAAACCACATGGTAATATTTTGGAAGAAATATTCCAGATGAACAGACACTTAGCTTGGTTGCACCAATGTCTAGAAGTGTCTGACATACTGCAGTATCTCCTGCAACTCCTTTTCTTAGTCCTCGTACTTGTGCTTGACACATATTCCATCAGTCCTCAAATGATAAAGAAAACTTTTCTCGTCATGGCTACAATTCAGGGAACAACTTTGTATAAACACATAAAAATGGAGTTTAAAACCTTTACTCCATGTTTTGCTGTAGCACTGAACCCATATTCTGCATTTCAATAGCACTGTATTTCCCATAGGGCAGCAAAACTGCACGCCAGCCCCACACTGCCCCCAGCATAGCAGAGTTTTCAGATGGGTTAAAGAGAACCCAACCCAGTAAAGGTTTAACTCTGCCTCATTGCATTGGTCATAGTGCTGTGAGCTTGCACTGCCTTTTCCTCTTAAATTTAGAAAACACAGGTTTTATCCATATAGGAGAACCCTAAGAAACAATATTAATGGATATTTTGATCATTACTGAATCTAATGTGTCCTCTTTGACCTTTCTATTTTAACAGCAGCACCTATATGTTCCTATGAACCCTACACATTCAGCACGGCATTTTTAATTTTGAACCGTGGATCTAGATTTCTGGAGGGATGGGAATTTAGCAGCTACTCTCACACTTCCTGACCTTTACTAATTAACATGGCAAATTGTCAAAGCTGGGGTTTTTCCCTGGGAAGATATTCATTTGGGATCC